CCTCATGCAATTCCGGGCGTATCGGTTAGTTTTTTTTTTTTATTTTATTCATAAATAGTGCCTTTTTCTAATTTTAGAATTTTATTAGCCATCATTAATACCAATGCAAAAATAATCATGTGTGTATCACGAAATATGTGTTGTATTACTTTTGATTGTTTTTACAGTCGAGCACATTTCCAAATATGGATAGTGAAGATCGTATCTATTATAGTAATAAAGTGTCGATCAGTTTGATTCTGGAAATTTCTCGATATATGATAGCATGAGTTCTGATTGGCTAGATTTATAGCGTTATTTCGTCTTAATAAATTTTTAATATTTAATAATTTTTTTTTTTTTTTATCCTTTTATAACAACGTTTAAGAATAACTATCCATCAGCATTTCTATTTCAGCAGATTTTTATCTATTTCGATAATACACAATTCCATGTTATTCTGAATATTTTTTTGTTTTTACTGTTTTATTAATAACGTTTATCTGTTGCAGATATATGAGAAAAATTTGAATTCGTGTTTTTAAATAATGCATGTTTTTATATTAAAAATTAATGGAACTTTATATTACATACTGGCTAGTATTGGAAGACGTGAAAGAGTAATTATTCTTGCTGGCAAAACCAAAACCCAAAAAAAGCAATTGCTCTTTATAAAAAATTACAATCAAATTTATTTTATATAATTATAAGAACTTATCATTTATTTAAATAAAAAAGTTGAATTCAAATTTGACATCATATGTAAACTCGAATTTTAAATTTGAATTTACATATGAAGTCAAATTTGAATCCAACCTCTATAAAGATTATTAATAAAGTTAATTTATTTTTTCGCAATTATGAAGTAATAAATACATCATACTTTAATTTTTAATGAATTGTGAAATTTGTATTACAAGCGATAAATATTGTTATATTATTAAAATTAAAATTAATAAAAACAAATTCAAATATAAAAACTAGAAGCTTTTTATTAAAAATATAAATTTAAATTCGAATTCACTCTTATCATATAATCGTATTTAATTATCATTATTATGTTCACAATCCGAATTAAATAAAGACCTTACCTCTTCTAATATGGTCAATAATTCATCACGCCTTTTAGATTTTAGTCTACTATATTTTTTTTGAACACTTTCATCTAAGCATTCAAAAAAAGCTTCGATCTTGTAAATTATTTTCGCTTTTGTTATAGCAACTTCACTTTTTTATGTATCCGCTTCTTGTTTTGTAATCAGAATTGGCCTAAACAAAGATGCAGGATTATTATTTAAAAAAATATTAGTAATATATTCTTGTCGAGCTTTTCTTGCTAAACTTGTAAAATTTAATAGCTGTGTACTTAATTCATATTCATCGCCCAAACTTTTACAAATAGTTCTCGAATCTGTTGAATTAACAAAATTATTTTTTCTTAGACAGGCTCGAAATCTTTAGCATTCAGTTGTTGGTTCTAGTGATTTCTTGAACTATTTGTTTGAAGGTCATTGTATCCAATCAATCCGAAGAAATTGCACTGTAACTAGATTGTTATTATTGGCAATTAGTTAAATATTTAAATATTTATTGCGGTTTGCAAAATTATGTAAATTTTGCAGATCAAAAAAAAGAAAGAAATCGCGTGATTTTTAGGTAATTTCTAAATGATTTCTGATTTCTTAAAACAACTCTGATATCTAGGTATGAAATTGTTATATCGGAGTTGTTTTAAAAAATCGGAAATCACTTAGAAATTGCCTAAAAATCATGCGATTGCTTTTTTTTTGATTCTGCAAAATTTACATAATTTTGCAAACTGCAATAAATCAATAGAGTAATTACCTGGAAGAATTTTTTACAATTTCTTGCAGCAACTTTCCAGTGACGTAGTTGTGGTGTAGGTGGTATCAGTGTTTTTAAGATCTTATTGATTTCTTCTAAGATCGCATCCAATTTCTGATGTTGATTTATAAGCCCTGACCTAGAAATTATACAATTTTTTTCTACAATATCTCTTATAAAAGGATCAAGCTGCATTAATTGTATTTCATCAAAGGCTTCTATCAGACGATAGATTAGATGGCGTCATGCTGACTATACTGGTGAAAAAGCTCTCCTTGCAGCTTGCTTCAACAACAGATTATTTTCTCTTATAGCCATTCTATAGTTAATAATAGCCTGCAAATAATAAAATACCTATAATAATCAATTAGTATAAACGTTATTTATAAAAAAATA